CTACAGAGGACACTTTACAGTCCCCAAACCTACTTCTGTCCTTAGTTCTTACTGTCGATTCCGACAGTAGATAAAAGAAGACTGGGTGTTTGCAGATGAGGAAAACTGAGGTCCAAACAGGCAGACTTTGTTGAGATTATTCACATAGACACTGAGTCTGCAATCCAAGAAAATGACAGCCCCCAGTAGCACAGAGAACCAAGAGACAGGAAGAGAAGTATCAAGGACCCCACGCTCCACCAGACCTAGGTCACCAGCTAGAGATGCCTCTAGGGGTTTAGTTGACCTCTGCTGCCATCAAGTGGCAATTCTATGATATATCAGCCAGAGAGGCTTTTGAGGGACGCTGTTTCCTGCTGGGTGGAGCATCTGTCCTCAAAGTGACCCACAAGACCAGAATCATCTTCCTATGATTCTGAGAGACCCTTCCTTTGCACTCTCCTCTTCTCATGTGCACATGCGGTTTCCAAAGGCTGAACAACCAGTGACGTCACAAGACAAGCAGAAGGGTCTCCAGCTGCCCCCACCCATTCACTACAGAGGAGTAACTCAGCCTAGTCAGGAGAACACAGTGGCAGACCCTGCCTGGCCTCCGAACATACAACCCCTCCCAATCTAACTGTGCAGCCAGGGCAGGCACTAGGGCATACCTACTTGACACACCCTGGGACGTGATCGAGGAGGTACTCTGGGTTCACCTCAGCATTATCTAACATGCCAGGAGCATCTCCTCCCCAGCATCCTCAGAACCTGCTTGTGATGCTGAGGAGGGGAGGAATACAGTCTCTTTCTGCTAAAGGGTTTAATAAACTAGCGTGAAAGCATTGCTGGCGCTCCTCCATCCTCGACCCTCGAGACAGTGCCTACACAAGGCAGGTGCACAGCAATTGTGGATGACTAGGTGACCAGAGGCCCCATAGCCACAGGCTCAGAGCTGCCCAGGGGACTTTGCAGCCCTGTGGAGGAGCTGTGGAGAATGGAGATGGAGGAGAGCACTGTGAGGGTACGAGAGAATACCTGTGAGCTACATGCTACACTGGGAAGAACGACCCATCGGCCTCTGAGGGGCAGCAGTGATTTGGTGCTGGCTCTGTCAGGAATTTGCTTCAGATCACACAGAGGTGGGAGCAGATGGGGCATAAGAGAAACTGAGGAAGACCTGTAAAGGTTTGTTTTTTACTTGACTGTGAGGACAAGTTCCCTTGCTGGGATTTAAAAATCACCTTGTAGGGCATTTCTGCTTGGCTGTTGGTAGCTGTCCAGGTTACAGTGTTGGGCAATTCTGAAGTCACATTCAGCAGTGTGCTGAGATTCGGTGGAATAGGTGTGGCTGCTACAGGTACAGAATCGGAAGCGACATTATGAACACATAGCAATGCAATCTCGTATGTGCTTTCAATAGGAGATAAAAACAGACACATAAAATCACACTGGAAGGCAGAGTGCAGATGACATGCGCATTTTATTATGGTTTCCATATAAGTCAGGTCCAGAGAACACTCACCTCCTGCAAGCCTGGGCTGCCATCTGCTATCCGTGACACCAATACACACTACTGCTCAGGCTTGAGAACCTCTGGATTTCTCTCTCCTACATGATCCCTTTCCAGCCACTGTGCCCTCCCTACACACCTCAAGGACCTGGGAGAAGATGCTACTACCCCCTTAGTTCCATTACCAGACTGCATGGAGCTGGTTTCTCTCTGAGCTGGCAACATTTCCACAGACCTAACCTAAGCAGAGATGGGGGTGACCAAGGCATCCCAAAATCCAGGTAGAGGCATGTGACACAGAAATAACCCAAAGGGCATTCAGTGCTTTTATTTGGAAGCACGGAGCCACCTCAAGTTTCTCCACAAGTCTCTGCTGTGTTTTCAACATTCAGGGGCACAGGCATTTTGCTCCAGTTTTCCACAGGTTCTAATCCAGAGCTGAAAGAGATGGTGGTGGATGCTTGGTCCATGGTCTGCTGCTTCCTTCCAGCACTCGGGGCTGGGGAGAGAAATGGAGAGCCTGCAATCCTGAAGGAAGTGACTCTGAGCTCAGTATGACGGCTGCGGCCCACCAGCACAGAAGCGGGAAGGCCGGGTCTTTTTTCTTTCCAGTAACTCACTGGTGCTGGTTCTACAGGCATGGTCAGCACCAGCCCGCCAGGGCATGAGGCCTGGTCTGCCCTGGGAAGAGAGAAGGGATGTGAAGAATCCTCTTTTGAGTTGTGGCCTGCAGGATCCAGGCTCAGACAACCCACATGGAGATGGTTTGTGTTCCACAGAGACGGTGTAGTAATCACCAACACACTGAGGCCAGTCAGAACAGCTGTCTGAGATCATTTGTGAATGTTCAAACCAGGCAGCATGGAAAGAATGCATCTCCTTTCTTTGGGTATGAAGTTCCCTGCAAATGGAAAGTAGGCTTCCTGGGTCTGGAGCATGCATGCAGGGCAGAACATAGAACGGCACTATTCTAGGAAGGTTCTGGAGCCAGGACTCTGGAAAGGCAGGGAAGGATGACACAGTAGGACTTGTGAACAAACCTAAGAACTGACTACCCACCAGTGACTAGGACCCTTTCTCTCAAATTATCCCTATGACAAAATAACTACCTCAAAAAGTTCTCACTGAGTTTCATGTCTCTGTTCTGAGTAGCCTGGAAGAAAACAGAACAAGGGATGGATGAGAATTAAGGTGCTGTCTCCTTGAGACTCTAGGGAGATGTGTCCTCCATCCCATGCATATATTTGGAAACAATTTTCATTGACCCCTGTGCCTAGGACTCTGGAGACAGTCACCATCCCGCAACTTCTTAGGGTCTGCAGTGTTTTGGGGCAATCTGAGATACATCGTCTCCTCCATTCGGGTCTAAACGAGAAGGGAGGCGTTGCTGTGCATATCTTCAAAGAGTTCACGTTTCTGCTGCATAGATTGTAGCCTGCTCCAAACCTTTGTAGGTTAAAGCCCAGGCTTGCTAGAGGACCTGGTGTTCATGACTCCTGGTTAGAGCAGGATGTTAAACACCTTGAGCGAAGCCTGTTCAAGACAAAGCTGCTGGGCCACCCATTCCCACTTAAGGGGACCTGCTCTTCCCACTGCCACCCTTAATGACTTCTTTCTAAGGAGATGGGTTTCCAAGCCCTTTGCAAGAGACAGGGCATTCAGGATGAAAAGTTTCCAACTGGCTCGGCTATTGTTCTCAAATGCCAAATCTAGGACAGTCCTGACTTGGCTCTCTAGAAACTTCCTCCAGCCTCCTTCTTAAAGAGCCAGTCCCAGGGTGGCAAAGAGCGGCACAGTATGACAACTAGGGCAAGTGCCCAGCCACTCCAGACCCGAGGTCTTGGTACCGAAGCCATTTTGTATTTAAAATTTAGCTGCGTGAGACACGGTCTGGGCCATTAGGCAGGAAGGCACCTACATCATGCAAAGTGGGTTCTGGGTCTGAGGCTCCGGTTGGACCCTATGGTGACTGTGGGAAGTTGTACAATGTTCTTTCTGTAGTTTCTATATTTTCCTACAATATAAAAATGCAATGATTTTGTAACAGGTCTTTAAATTTTTATTTCCCTGTTAAAGGGGATGTCTAAGCACAGCTTTAGGAATGAAACAATATCCGTGTCCTGCCCTGCCTTGTCATGGACATCACCCAAACACAGGATGCTTCACCGAGAGCTTTAATTATGAAAAATGCATTACTACCCTTTTTCATTTTGTATAAAAGGTGGCAAAAGGCCGGAGAAGCTGTGAGTGTCAGAATTCTATTAAGGCCAGCTTCTAGGTTTGCTGTGGTCAGCCTGACTGATGGCTCTCTCTGCCTCCATCAAGAACCTGGTACACTGTCTATGCTTCCCAGCATCCACTGCAGCATGGAGTTAGAGGTCAATAGTCAGGCTCCCCTGATGGTGGCCATCCTCCTTGGCAGTCACAGAGGCAGAGTGAAATGGTTTCTTGGTTGATGAGAAAGTCCAATGATTGACCACTTCATTTTCTGAGCTTGCAAGTGACAAGCTTGAGGCTAGGAAGGAATAGCAACAGGACAGAGGGACATGGGAGGTCCACCATTCTTCATCCAGGGACAGTGTTAAGTCTCCATCAGGAAAAGGGTAGAGGAGGGAGAGATGCCTTGCAGAGGACCTCCACTGGGAAGGATGGAGGGGAACAGCAGGCAGTTAGGGGGTCCTTTGTAGGAAGGCCACATCTCAGCTAAGAAATCAAGCCGTTTGCTGGAGGAAACCAACAGTTAGGTCTGGAGGACAAAGCGAGTGACATCAAGACCAAGGGGAGTTGGCTCAAGGCACAGCAAGGTCACAGACCCCAGGAGAGAGAGGGTAGAATGTTCAGGATGGGGGCAGGTTGGAGGCGGGGGCATCAAGGACTGACTCCCGGGTAGCTGAGGCAGAGAGCTGCTGAGAGCATTTGAGCAGGAAGTCAGATTCACGGTGCCACACCAATCCTTCCACAGTGAGATAGGAAAGGGCCTGAGGACTCTAACGGTGGGAGGCAAGGAATGGCCGCCCCTCTGGAGCTCTGCGAAGGAGCGTGTTAGTAGGAAGTGGGGAGCTGACCCCATATTGGCATAGCGTGGCCTTTGGGGTCAGTATCCTCAGATCACAGATCACTACTGTGAAAGGGAAAGAGAGCGGGTGAACTGGCTGTGAGATGTTGAGTTGTGCCCAGCTCAGGGACTAGGGGCCCAGCATGCCGCGGTCAACCGCGGGTATTTCAGAACAGCAACGTGTTGGTGAGAAGGCAAGCTTCTCCACTGGACTTACCACAGGGGACAGAGGGGCATGTCAGAAGCTCAGGACAGTTTTGTAAGGAAGAGCGGAGTCCCAGCTTCCCCCTTGGCTAGAAGAAGCCACACTCACCTACAACCATGGGCTTGTCACAGTGTGGTGGTGCGGAGTGCCTTCAGGGAGAGCTCATACCCGAGGAACATGGCCGCACTCATGGGGAAGCCACGCACAGCGTTCACAGTGAGACCCCTGAAAAACACCTTTGTGCAGGGGGGTAGTTACTCCAGGGCTAGCCCTCTACAGTGCCGACCCACACTCTTCTGACGGTGAGGGAAAAGACTGCAAATGCACTGCAGCCCAGCCCTAGCCTGACCAGAGCCCAAAAGATCTCTATGCGGGCGGGCAGCCTCTGGCCTGTCCCCAACCCATAGTACCTGTGATGGCACTTGTCATCATGGGCTCTGCTATACATAAGGCTTCAGCAAGCTGAGATCCAAGCAATTCTGAGCTGGTGTGGTGGGATGCACCTGTGTTTGTTCTCTGTCTCTTTCCTGCCCCCCACCCCAGGGTTCTGGAATCTCGATATAAAGCACTCAGCCCCACTCAGTGATAGCAACAGGTGCTTCCTACAGCATCCCCAAGTGGTACAGTACAGACGCAGGACAATGCTTAAAGTCGCAGGCCATGGATAGGGTCACAGCATGGGTGGGTGACAGCATCTCTAATTATAGTGGCAATGTTGGGCTACTAATGGGAGATCCAGGGAACAACCCAGACAATGCTTCTTAAGCTTCTCCTAGTGCCCACTGAAGCAGCAGGTACCCAGTGACTGACTGCCATCCTCATCCTCAACAGCCATCACCTGTGGAGGCTGAGGTAGCAGTCTGAATGGAGAAGTGGCTAGCAGCCTCTGCCTCTGTCACGAGCTGTCACCTGTTTCTGGGCAATGCTATGGCAGGGCTCTCATGAGCTCCTGACTCCCTGCATCTTTCTGCCTGGTGTCCGGTGGGCGGCCTATACCCTCTTAGGTGAGCTAAGAACATTCTGGAGCAATGACAATATTACCAGGCGATGACGGGGACAGAGAGGGGCTAGGGAAGCGGGGAGGGAGCTGCTCCTTACGGTCTTCTCTGGAACTTGCACACAGTCAAGAGGTAAACCCTCCCCCAAGCACGATCTGAGAGCTGCCAGGCACGTGAACTGTCTCTCACACAGAATCATGGCAAAGACAGAGTGGGTCATTTTCAGAAAGAGGCAGCCAGCCTGTATATTCGTCCAGTTTCAGGGGACACTGGCAGCCACAGGACAGTTTGGCCTAGGAGAGGAGCGGATAGAATACAAGCTGGCACCACTCAGGCAGACCCACATGGGATCCGGGTAACATTAGCACTCTGTTCTAATGCCTAACCACACTGGAATTCCTCAGGCTCACCCGGAGTGACTAAGTAATAGCAAGGAGCTGGGTTCAGCTCCAAGGGGAAAATTCCACACTGGGTTCCCAGACTCTCTGTAACCTTGGCTTGACTCTGCTCCAAGGCTACAGGGAGAACCAGGTTCCAGGTGGGCCCAGCCTGGCACACAGCCTCCTATCCCATAAAACAACATTCAGAAATTTTGAGCTAAGACCCTCCTCATGAAGCCTCCATGGCTCCCTACTACCCGGGACATGTCTACCTAGACTCCTCACTGGGCTGTGATGAGCCTCCTGCCCAAGCCTTGTGTTCTCTCTGACTGCATGTCTCATCTGTCGCCCTGGGACATATCTGGTCCCCTCTGCTTTAAATGCTCTCCAGATATGCTTGCAGCCTCAGTCCATCCAATCAAGGCCACCCCAGAGTGGACAAGAGTAGCTTCCTAATCACACCATGCCTTCATTGTTTCTCGTGGTCCATGACCCATGAGTCCCTGACAGGACAAGGAGCAGAGCCTGTGGGTGTAGTGCTCTTCCCATCCCCCATCTCAACACTCATGGACCTGAGCAGACCTTCTGTAACTGGTCAAATGAGTCCACGGAGGATGGGCAAGTGAATGAACGACAGAAGGAGAGCCTATGCCGAGGGAGTTCTGCTGGTGGTGGCTGTAGGGTTCAAGCAGGGTTAGGACTTCAGACCCAAAGGGCAAGACCACCAGGCAGCTGACCTCAGCCCCGCAGGAAGCCTGACTACCAAAAACACACCTCTCCAGCCCTGAGCCAGCCTTGTCCCACCACCCGGAACGAAAGGCTCAACTCCAGCCTCCTCACTTCAGCCCATGTGGCCCACGTCAACCCTCAGAGTGGGTAGAGTCAAGGACCACAGCACTGGGGGCCACTGATTCTAGTTTGGTGGTAGATCCCTAAACCATGAGCTTCTGGGTGTGCCCTCTCTCAGCAACCCTTGAGCTACAAAGACCAGATCACCCTGCCTCCAGTGCCATGGTCCTTCCTGAGTCCTTGTCACTACTGAGTTCCTGTCTATGGAAAGATGAGGGTGGGTATGCTGATGGGGTGTGTAGGGTTTTCATAAGCCACAGGCAGAATGTTCTAGAAGTTATTCTCTAGCCAGCAGAGCCCACGTCATGGGGACTGCAGTTACTATTGGCCTTGATCAAAGGAACTCTTCCCACTTGGTGGTTGCCAAGTTCGAGACAACCGATGGGTATGGCTTGTGCACACTACTGTTATATCAATATGAAATGCCCGTATGTGTGAGCACACACAGACATCCACTCGCTTGCGTGTTTGCAAGTGCACTGTGTGTTTGGGGAATATAGCCCAAGAAACTCAAATTAGTAGCTGCTTTTGAAAGGATGGGGTGACAGGTGGGACACTAAGACATGTGGTGTCCTTGTGTTTGGGAGCTTCCTGCTTTCACAGAGCACCGACCTTTTCATCAACTAGTACACGATTTAAAGATTAATCTTCATCACCGGCTGGTGAAGCGGTTCATCAACTGAGCACTGTGTTGTATTTAATGACGCTCAATTCTTGGCGCCACAAAAAGCAAATAAAATCTATCTCTGAATAAGCACTGCAGATGAAATACTGCGGGGATTAGGAAAACAACCGCCCAGTCTCAGCTGTCCTGAGGTCTTTGTTTCTATGAAGTATGGAGACTGGGGAAGGGGAGAGGATGGCAGCAATTTGTTTTGCCTCTACAGATTTTTCTTTAGTTATGACACATTAATTTGGGAGAAATAGACAAAAACTCTCAAATAAAAAGTAGCATCCCGAAGGAATCTCTTTGGGTTCAGTAACTGCTGATGGGATCATAAGCATTTGTCTTCTGAAAAAAAAAAAAAAAAAAAAAAGCTGGGTGTGGTGGCGCACACCTTTAATCCCAGCACTCGGGAGGCAAAGGCAGGTGTATCTTTGTGAGTTCGAGGTCAGCCTGGGCTACAGAGTGAGATCCAGGACAGCCAGGGATGTTACACAGAGAAACCCTGTCTCGAAAAACAAACAAACAAACAAACAAACAAAAAATCAAGTTTGTGCCCGAGCGGCACCCTCTCAGTGGCTGCCATTAAATAAAATAAGAATTAAAATAACGAAGACAGCAAAGCTCCAAATGTATCCATCCCTGAAGACAGAAAGGCTCTCCTGAACTGCATCCCGGGCAGATGTCAGTGCCTGGCCTTTCTGCGCATGCTCTGGGTCCCATCAGTGTATTAATTAATGGGAGCTGACTAGAGGTGGATGCAGTGTTCCAGCCGTGGTCTGCTCAGGGCAGAGGCTTCCAACTCCCTTGTCCTCTCCAGTACTTCTACACTGCATCCTGGTCCTGCCAGATCCATCAGAGTAGGCTTTTCCTCTTTCTTTACTGCTCTGTTCTCAACTCCTAAAATTGCACCTGACCTAGCCCAGTCTTCTAAAATTAGGCAAATTAATGGTGAACTTGTGAAAATGAAACCCCTCAGACATTTTCTCCAGGAGCTTTTGTCAAATTTGATTGACAACTAACTCTTTACTGCTAGGGGCTAGATGTGATGTTGATTCTAGCGGTTCTGCCTTTAGATGTGGGTCTCCCTCTAGACAGTAGGGAGTCCCCTGGATCTTACATCCTTTCATACAGCATGCTAGCTCACCTCTGGCTCAGCCAAAGCTCTGGATCTTTCCCTGATCGGAATAGGAGAGAGAACACGCAACTTCTCTAGAGAGAAGGCAGTAGAGAGAGCTTTGTGGCCCATGGTGCTGTGTGAGAAGCACCCATGTGGGCATAGAAGTGCAGTGGTCACTGGGCAAAGGTGTGCCAGGCATGGAGGTATGGGTGGAGCCAATTGGCAGGGCTTGGGGAGAGACAATACACGGGCACAGACACAGGCCCTATGGGAACATACATTAACCAAACTATCTCAAGTAAACTAGCATTCGGGAACTTCGGGGTGAGGCATGGGCTAGCAGCTGCCTCTGTGTGTCCTCATGAAGGAGAAATAACAGACAAAATAGATTCTATTCCAAGTGAAAAAGAGGAAGGGTGTTGTAAATCCACAAATGGGTGAAAGGCTGCCTGGGAACTATGAAGAAAAACACAGAAAAAGAGCTTTAGTCTTATGGCTCTGTGACAGGGGCAAGGAAGCAGAAGGCACATTCGGAAGGCGAGCTAGGTGTGAGGCAGCCATATCTGCCTTGGAGCATGCCTCTGCGTGCACAAGTCTCAAACCCAGCTGCAGGTTTGGGCAAGGCGGTGGTTCCTCTGGTCAGCTATAGAGAGATGTTCTGTTTCTGTCGTGGTAATATAGCTCAGAGGGCAGTGGCTGGGTCTTGCCCTGAGAATGACTACTGCTTAAAAACTGAACCAGCAAGGCTACAGAGAGCCAAGCTGAGCTGGCTCTGAGGGTAAGGGCATTTGCTGCTCTTCAGGAGGACCAGAGTTCAACTCCCACCATCCACATCAAGTGGTTAACAACTCCCTGTAACTTCAGCTCCAGGGCATCAGATAATCCCCTCTTAGACCCCGGGGACACTGGCCTTCAAATGTGCCCTCAACCCCACATGTACACATAAAGAAAACAAAAACCTGAGCTAGCCCTGGGGCATGCAATAAACTATATCCTCAGGCAGGGAGCCTCTGTTCCACCATAGCCTCAGGATTAGGAAAGGACCAGGGAGATTGTGGTGAGCAAGAAAGCAAAGTGCTGACAGTCAGAAGGGCATGGGCAACAGGTTTGGCTCAAGGAGGCAAGTGCATAAGCCTTGGATGATGGCAGGAAACAGATCTCAACTGTTTCATGGAGTTCAATAGCCCTAAAGCTCAGGTCAGTGAACTCTTGATTTCTGGTCACCTGTCTGCGTTAGAAGCTCCTTCTGACCCACGCCTGTATCCTTCCAGGAGACACTGAAACTACAAAGACAGGTTCTCCACCTGCTCAGGTCTCAGTGCTGTGCTCACTTCCTAGGCTACCAACACACAAAGATGAGATCCTCTAACTAGACTATAGCCACTCCAGGGGGTACAGTCTAGGGTGTTTTAGGAGAGTGAGACAACCCGTCCAGTCCACAGACTGCAAAGTTAAATATGGCCAGCAGAGGCCTCTGGTGCACAAATAAACAAATTAATTAATTAGTTAAATAAATAAAAAAAATAGCAAAATGAAGACAGTGCTGGTGGACAAGAGACACTTGTCTAGTACAGAGTAAGCAACAATATACACCACAGGCAAGACACGAGGTCACAAGTTCAACTGGCCTGCACTTCCATGCGTGAAGACCACTGAGGCAGCATCACAGAAGACAGACAGGACTGCTGCCCAAGGAAGAGGATAGAAGACGGTCGCGATCGTGAGAGCACTGGGAAGAATGAGTGACAGGAAAGAACAGGTGAAGAAAGGGGGCTAGGAAAGAGTCCATCATGTCCAACCCAGCAAGCCAGCAAACTGCTGTTACTAACGGGGGGGGGGGGGGAGGGGGCAGACAAGAACAGGCAAAAACCCAACCAATCAGAACAATAACAATAAAAATGACAGGAATCAGTCAACTTCTCTCAATATTAACCTTAAATGTATGTGTCATCAACTCATGAATAGAGAAATTCAAATTGGCTGACTGGATTAAAAGATTAGCCCAGCTGTCTGTTGTCTGCAAGAAACACACCCCACTGGTACACACACCCAGGGGTTAAAGGTAGAAGACAACTCATCAAGAGAGTGGAAGATGAACACAAGCTAGCATAGCTATTCTGGTATCTGATAAAGTAGACATCAAACCAAAATTGAAAGAGATAAGAAGGTCACTACATATGAAGAAAGGGAAAGCTCATCAAGAAGACAGTAATTGTAAATATATATGCACCAAATGGTAGATGTTTAATTTCTAAAATAAACACTAAAGGTCATAAAAGGTCATACCAATCCTGATATAATAACTGGGTAGTTTAAGTGTCCCACTCTCATCTAAAGATGGACCATCAACCTAAAAGTAAACAAACAAAAGACCCTAATATGGTGGTATTCTATTTGTACTGAAATGTGATTTTAATTGTATATTAATAAATAAAGTTGTCCAGGGGTCAGAGCTATTAGAGTCATAGCAAGAGTGTGGCGGTGGTGGCGCACGCCTTTAATCCCAGCACTTGGTAGACAGAGCTAGGTAGATCTCTGTGTGTTCAGTGATACAGCCAGCATTGGAGACACACACCTTTAAGATCTGGAGGGCTGTATATACAGGCAGTGATGAGGCAGTCACATGTTTGGGTTTACAACCAATGAGAAGGCAGAACAGAAAGACTATGTAAAGACATACACACAGGAAGTAGGTCTCTTTCGGGGGAGAGGTAGGAGCACCGCAGGAGGAAGGGTAAGATTTTAGCTCTGAGCTCTGACCTCTTGGCTTTCTCTTTTACATTGGTTCTGTGTTTCTTATTTAATAAGACAGTTGGTTACATCTACACCCTAAACCCTAAATTACATGAGATAGTAAATGGACTTAACAGATAACAATGAAATACTCCACCCAACAGAATCAGAATATATATTCGAAACAGCCAAGCAACCTTCTCTAAAACAGGCCACAGTCTAGGACACAAATTAAATCTTGGCAAATTCAAAAGCATAAAAATAATTTCTTGTTTTTTATCAAATCTTAGTAGAATAAAACTAAAATTCAATAACAAGATAAAGTGTAGAAACTGTGAAAACGCATGGAGACCAAACAATATACTCATCAATAATTCTTAAAAGTTCATTGAAGAAATCAGGGAGAAAATTGAAAAATTCCTAGAATCAGAAGAAAATGAAAATACCTGTAGTTATGAATACTTACATACACAACCCAGAGTGATTGTCAGGAATTGCCCAATGGTACATTTCAAAGTCTTAGAAAAACAAGAATCAGCCAAACCCCAAGCAGTGGTGGTTAAAAAAAAAAAATCAAAAAGATCAGGGCAGAAATTAGTGAAATGGAAATTTTTAAAAATGTACATAGAGTCAATCAAAGAGTTGGATCTCTGAAAAAAATGAGCAAGATTGACAAACTCCTGGCCAAACTAACTGAAAGAGAGAAAGAGAGAAAGAGAGAAAGAGAGAAAGAGAGAGAGAGAGAGAGAGAGAGAGAGAGAGAGAGAGAGAGAGAGAGAGAATGCTAGCATTAAAAATTAGAGATGAAAGGCTGACATTGCCACAGACTCCAGTGAACCCAGGCATTCACTAGGGAATACTTAGAATATCCATGCTCCAAACAACAGGAAAGTCTGGAAGGAATGGCTAAGGCCCTGGACACCTATGGCTACTAAATTAGTTCAAGATACAAACAATCTAAAAGATATAGAAAAATCAATATCATCAAAGCTGTAATAAAAATCTCCATCAAAGAAAAGGCCAGACCTGGACAGATTCACTGCTGAATTAAATTATTTAAAGAAGAACTGAAACTAATCCTCCAGAAACGTCCATAAAATAGAAAAGCCAGAAACACCACCAAACTCATTCTACAAAACCAGCATGGCCCTGATACCAGCAGGAGAAAAAGACAACAAAGGGGAATTATAGACCAATTCCCCAATGAACATAGACACAAAGATTCTCAATAAAACCTCACAAAGCTAATTAAAGAACACAATGAGAAGCTAGACACCATGACCAGGTTGGTTTTATTTCATGGATAGCTTGACTAAACATATGCAAATTAGTGTAAATAGAGATCACATGACCATTCCAATAGCTACAGGAAAGACCTTTGACAACACTTAACACTTCCGTTCGTGATAACAGCCTCCTCGAAGAAAATTAGAAGGGACACCCATCAGCACACCAGGGCTATATGACACACCTGAGCCAATACTATACCAAATAGGGGCAAACTGAAAACTTTTCTGTGAAATCTAAAAGAAGACAAGGGTGTCCACTCTCTCTCCTCTCCTTTTAGTACAGCGTGTGAAGTCTTAGCTGGGAAACGTGACAAGAGAAGAGATAAAAGGACTTCAAATAGAAAAGAAAGAATTCAAGCCACCCCATTTGCAGATAGCACCATCTTTTTCTTAAAAGCCTACGGACTCCAAAACCCTCAGACTTGATCCACAGTTTCAGCAAAGTAGCAGGGTACAGAATCAGCACACAAAATCTAGTAACTTTTCCATACACCAATAACAAACTTTCTGAGAAAGAAATCAGGAGGTGGAAAAAAAAAAGTCTCATCCACACTGCTTCCTAAAACAGAAAGTATCCAGGAATAATCTTAAGGACAGGCTGGTAACCTCCAATACCTGCTCTCTCAGTCCCTGACCTCACCCTCACAACATCCGAATCCTCTGCCAGGCTTTTGCTCACGGTGGGGGGGGGCGGGCGGGGGGCGGGGTGCAGCTCACCTTCAAGCCTTCTTGACGGTAACTCTGGGAGATACAGTCCAGGACTCCACTGTATCTGTTTAAATAGACCCCATCAGCTTGGAGTCGACTTTTCACGACATCCATCGGAGTTGCTGTCCCCCAGGAAATTGCCCCTGCAAAGTCAGAGAAAAGCATGCCAGAGCTGGCTGTCTTGGGTCTTCAAGGCATGGCTTCCTGAGGATGTTGTCCTTCAGAAAACCCATAGTTGGTGGCGAGGGACATGGGCCGGGAACTGGACTTCTGGTCCTCTCTCCACCCACTCTTGGACCTCGAAGAAGCCTCCTGCACCTGCTCTGTGGACTGGGGCTGAAGTGCTGTGTTCGTGAGGCAGCTGTGAAGACGTGTGAACAGATGCCTGTGGTTGCGTGGAAGGTGAGACCAGGCCACAGTGAGGCTCCACATGTGGCAACATTTATCTGTGGGACAGCAACTGCTTCACAGGCCTCTGCAGTCCTTCCTAAGCAGAGAGAGAGAGTTCAGGGTGAGACCTGTGACCAAAGGCTTGCAGCTACCCACAGGCAGGGTTTAATTTGAATCTGGGAAACGAAGCAAAGCCTGCCACACAGACCACTCACTGAGAAGGGCCAGCCTGGGGACTGCAAGGCAAGATTCGGCACAGTCTTTTTCTGTGTAAAAACTTTTCTAAATCTGTGGCATAAAACTGAGAGACCACATATTGGGGTCATCGTCACTGGATCAGCTGAAAAGTCCCTGTTTAAGCATCAGTGTGACTCCAAAGGATTAGGAAAGCAGTGGTTGTTTTGTTTCACTAATGCAGAAATTGGCACATTCTTGGCTGGGGAGAGACAACACTCCAATGTCAAAGTCCAGGGCAGCTGGCTTTCTAGGTTTGGTAACTGCCGCTCAGCGGCTCTCCAAAGAGACATCCTGGACCCTCTGCCCATGCAGGCCTCCAGCGCTCCAGTTTTCTCACACAGCCCCCGGAAGTCTGTTTCCATGTTCACTCTCTCCTGATCTTGCCAGGGCTCCTAGCTGCCTCCCCATGTGTGTCTGGGATTCTCATCCCTCAGTCACAGTGAGAATGTCATGAAATGAAGTCCTCGGGCCCTTGGTACCTGCTCTCCACGCAAAGGAGAACAGATAGGAACTTGAGGGCTCTTCCTAGGAATAGGTCCAAGGATGGGCCTCAGACACACAAGGGCATAAGCAGAACACCACTGCTGTATGGTCAAGGCATGGGCTTTGTGCATGTCTGATGTGAGTTTAAAACACAGATTGGAGGAGGGAGTGAGGAGGAGGGAAAGGGGAGGAGAGGAAGAGGAAGGGAAGAGGAGGAGGAGGAGCAAGAAAAGAAAGATGCCTGAGAGGCAGTAGGGAGTCATATCAAAGTAGGTATGGCAAACCACTCGGTGCACGCTGACCTTCCTTCTGATGAATCGCAGCTGTGGTGCAGGGTAGGAGAGTGACAAGTCCATGGCGACAGAACGAGCAAGTGTGGCCCCACCTGGCTCTTTCTGACTGCAGAGCCCCCCACTGTCCTATCTGCACCGGCTCCGTGGCCTTGAGTTCTCAGTGCAGCGTGTGGAGACTGGCTCCCCCTCACACACCTAACAAAGTGATGCTCAGTCAAGGGGAACTGCACCAATAACTTTCCCCAAAGCTCAGCAATGCCTGCCACCGAGAGCATGCTCGGAGTGCGTCCAGGGCCTCAAAGTCCAGTGAATTCACACAGAGACTCACAGCCCCAGAAAGAAGGACACGAGAGGTCACCGGACTGTTCCCACTACTAGTTAGGGCACATAGTAAGTGAAATAAAGGGTCCTGCGTATACGGCTGGATGAGTCCTGCCTTCTCAGAGGTGGGAAGGTCATGGTGGGTTCCTCTGCACTCTGCCATCACTGTGGCAGGCCCAGGACCCAGGGATGGGACTCCCATGCTGTAGCCCTTACCTGCAATGCCACCTGCCAGCCACACAGCATAGGGGCTGGGCCCTGTGCAGGCCTCGGGTGTGATCCATTCACTCAGGAACACATAGGGAATAAAGTAGAGGCAATATCCTGGGATGTCCCTCAGCAGCATGGCACTGGCTCCCCGGTATAGTCCTGCCAGGCCCTCGGTCCGCACAATGGTTGCGATGCAGTGTATTGGTCCCTGGTATGCTGCCTGCTCCCCTAGAGCCACTGCCCTGGTCTTCAACCCATGGTTGGCTGAAAAGACCGGAGAGAGATGGTAGCAAGTGATCAGGCAGGTAAGAGACTGGCCAGCCCCTGGCACCACAGCCGGCCCATCCCACTGACAGACTCCACTCACATGGTACATTTGTTTCTACCAAGCTATCTGTCACTCTTGGCAGCGTATACCAGAGTTTTGAGGCTCCAATCAGGAGCCCTGGCAACCTGCACACAAGATTGGAGACACTCCCAGCCAAGTTGCCCTGGGATTCCCAGAGCCTTCTGGTCAACCATCACTATGCATTTCTAAGCAGTTGTGATTGTAGAATGCCCAGGATCATTTAAGACTGTCAAGTCAAGATCACTCTTGATGGGGAATTGATAGTCATTCATAGTCCCCCACACACACACACACCTGTCTCTCCCAATACTGTGTGTGTGTGTGCACATATGTGAACATGCATGTGAATGCCTGTACTCTGTGTGGTAAAGTAAATGTGATTTGAAGCTAGGCTGTCCTGGATGCAAATCCTCTTCCACCACTTACAAGTGTCAGCATTTTCTATCTTTGTTTTCTGATCCTTAAAAGACTGACAGACTACTGTCACAGATACATGTCAAGTAACATGCCAAGTCCTCAGTGTGGTAGCTGGAATAGTGTTGGGTCCAATAAGTTAGCAAATAATGGTCAGTGAGAGGACCCACTGGCTGGCTAGAGAATAGGCATGTTTTGACTCATGCCAGCCCTGGCCTGGTTGTGCCCTAAAACAGCTGCAAGGCGGTATCAATGGACCCTCAAAGTTCAGGGGCCTAGCACAACTGACTCCATCACAGAAGTACCATTCAGACAGTAACACTCAACACGTAGACAGCACCACCTGCCAAAATGAAAACAAAGGCCTGATCCATCAAAGTTCATGACTCTGAGAAGTCTCTAAATGTGCTAACCTTGCTTTTTGGCATCTGTAGTTAGTTCTGCTTCTGAGTGTTCTTGTTAAGTCAAGTATGTCAACCCAGGATATGGTTGCTGTGCTTAAAAGCTCACCCTGAGAAAGTCTCAGGGCTACACTGAGATCCCAAACACCCAGTGTAGTCACCAGCCGGCTAATAAAGACTTTCTATGGCTTAAACCCATGTCTGAGCAGTCTTCTTTGGTGGATCCCCACAAGTTCAGGCTGCGGGGCGGGGCGGGGGGCTACTATGCTGGTGGTTTTCTCTCTCTGTAGCATCTCTGGGGTACACAGAGCAGCAGACTGGTCTCTCTCCCAGATGGTCCTCCCACAGAGCACCCTCCACCTTCCCTTGTGCTCATCTTCTCTGTTGTGGCTCTTGGTCGGATAGGCCTTCCAATACCGAAAAAAAGGTCCCTTCTGAAGGCTCCTACTAACACGATGGGACCAGGATGAAGCATGAAAGCCACCCATGACCACAACACTATTTGAGCCACCTGATCCCAGGTCTCTTTTGGTCTCACACATGCTGTAAACAGGAAGTGGCCTTTCATCCTGGGAGCTAACTCCCAAGTCCCCAAATGTCCCCATCTTTCTCCGATGAACATTCAGCCTTGTGGCTGTGTAGTTCAAAGTGGAGATTAAAGGACATGAACTTTAACTCATCCCAGAATTCCACAAGAGCAAGGGGAGGCAGCACTTGCCTGAGAAACACGCCTGAGCAAACTCCTACATACACATTTCCACCTGTGTAGGGGAAGGGAGGTGAGGGGGATAAAGGCCACCTTGGGGTTCATTTGAGCAAGAGCAGACATTGTGGCCCTTGAGGGGCCCCAAGAGATCATTATACATTCTTTCCCCAAACTGTGACAACATTACCAGTGTGCCCTGGGAAATTTGCCATAGACCAAATAGGTGCCGTTGTCTGGCTGTATAAATGCTGGCTAGGCAGCTCCTCTCTAGCTGTGGCTGACCTGACCCAGGAGGCGGTGTCCAGATAATGATCTGCTAGTTTGGCAGTGCAGATGTTGAAAGAACACTGGCCAAACTGCCAGCAGCCCTGTCCATAAACCCCTGCATTTTTTTCCCATTATCTCTCCTGAGTAAGCAATAAGAAAATTCTCTCACATTCTTCTAAGTTAGCAACATAAGCAATCTAGCTTTTATTGGTTTATAATTACTCATCTGTGGCTATTAAACCAATATAATAGCCAGTAAAGTATGCACTGGACTATCCTAGACATGAAAACAACCACCCGGATGCTGACGCAGCTCCGGACCAACCCAAACTCACACTGTTAATACTTGTCAACTTGGCAGTTCTATCACAAAACACCCGAGGTAATTATCTTCTGAAGAGAAAAGGTTTATTTTGGCTCACAGTTTGGGGGGTTGTTCTTTCAGTGATTAATTAGCCTCCTTGTTTGGGGTCTGTAGCAAGGCAGTGCACCATGGTTACATAAGATGATTTAATGCAAGTGTGTAACATACTTGGAGCATATGTACCCCACGCCCTGCTGCGTACCCCTTTCTCACCTCTCTATTCCCACTGTTCCCTACTCAGCCTTACTTCTTTCATGCCATATGTATATGTATGATGTCATGCACCTATATAAAATATGAGAACCACAAATGAGAGAAAACATGTAATATTTTTTTTCTGAAACAACTTAAATTGCTTACTAGGTTATATCCAGTTGAATCAATTTTCCTGTAAATGACATAACTTCATTCTTCATGGCTGAAACACTTCTACTGTGTGTATAACCACATTTCCTTAGTGCACTCTGTGCTGACTCCTGGGCTGGTCCTATAGCTCAGCTACTGTGATGAGCACTGCAATAATATTGATGTGCAGATATCTCTCTGTTGTGATGATTTGGAGTGGCACAGGTAGCTAGGTGTTAGTTTTTGAGGAACCTCCATATGACTTCCACAGTGATTAGACTAATTTATACCTCTACCAAAAGTTCCTCCCTACCCCTATATCTTCTCTAGAATTTTTATTTATTTTCTCATTTTGTTTGTTTTTCAAGATAGGTTTTCTTTGTGTAGTCCAGGCTGGCCTCAAACTCAGAGATCCGCCTGCCTCTGCCTCCCAAGTGCTGGGATTAAAGGCATGTGCCACCACTGCCCAGCTGTGATGTTCTTAATGAATGCTATTTTGACTGGAGGAGATGGAATTTCAATGCAGTTTAGTTGGTATTTCTCTGATGATCAGTGACACTGAATATTCTTTCATGTTTATTGCCCATGCATTTATTGACATGTGTCTACTCATTTCATTAGGCTGTCTATTGATTAGATTGTTTGACTTGCTTAGTTCTTTGAGCTCTTTGTATAATCTAGGTATTAACCCTGTTAGATATCTAGCCATCAAAGAGCCTCTCCCTTTCTGTGGGCTATCTCTTCACTCCATTGTTTCCTTTGCTGTGCTGAAGCTTTTTAATTTCATGAAACCCCACTTGACAGTTGTTAGCATTATTTCCTGAGTGACTGGAGTGCCATTCAGAAAGTCTTTGGCAGGCCACTGAGCTGACTCAGTGGGTAAAGATGCTTGCTGCCAAGCCTGATGACCTGAGTTGGATCTCCTAGGACCCACATAATGGGAGAGAGAACCAACTCTCATTAAATTGTCCTGTGATCTCCACACATGTGCATGGCATGTGTCTCCTCCAACACTAAATAAATAGAATTTAAAAATCAAAGTCCTTGCCCATGCTGATATCTTAAAATGTTTTCTCTTATTTTCCCTCCAATGCATTCTGGAGTTCAGATCTTACATTAAGGCTTTTACTCCATTTGGAGTTGATTTTCATACAGGGTGAGAAATAAGGATCTAAATTCATTCTTCTAATGTCGCTGCCCAGTTTCACCAGCAACATTTGTTGAAGAGGCTATCTTTTTCTCCAATATAGATTTTTGGCTTGTCAAAATTCAATTGGCCATAGTTGTGAGCGTCTAAATGTGGGTCCTCCATCCTATTCTATTCTATTCCACCCCATCTTATCTATCTTACTCTACCCTACCCTACCCTACGGTCTACATGTTGGTTTTTGCTCCCGTGACTCTATATTACAACTTGAAATCAAGTATGCTGATGTCTCCAGCATTTTTCATTTTGCTTAGGACTGTTTTGGTTTTCTGGAGTCTCATGCTTCTGCAGGTATTTTAAGACTTTTTTCTATTTCTGTAAAGAGTGACACTGGACTTTTCATGGGTTCGCTTGTATATAAGACTCGGTGCTTCTCTCAGCTTTCAGTATCTCCTTTGCTCTCTTGTTTAGTGTTACTATAATATGGTGTCAGCAGGTTCTTTTCTCATCTTGTCTGTTTGGTGTTCTAAATGCCTCCTGGTTCTAGATGCCATCTGCTTCTCTACATTTGGGGAACTTGTGCTACTATTTTGTTTAATATAATATAATATAATATAATATAATATAATATAATATAATATAATATAATATAATATAATATAATATAATATAATATAATATAATATAATATAATATAATATATATATCCTTAGACTAAAGTTCTATCACTCCATGACTTAGAAATTTGATCTTTTAATGGTGTCAAATAGAGCTTGTGTATTCTATTCATATTTTATCACTTTATCTTTGTCAGCATCTGAATCGATCTGTTTTCATCCCCGACAGTCTGTCTTTTATTTGAGCCATTCATGAGCAGAGCTTTGTAAAGAGTTTATTTGACTTACTGAGCTTCTATCTCTTAAATTTCAATTTTATTTGTATTTAGTATTTCTATCTCTTTCTTGAGTTCTTATGTCAAATCCTGTTTGATTCTCTTATTTCATTTATTTATTTGGATTCTATTTCAACTCATTTGATAGTTTATTTGTATCTTCTATTTTTATTAAACTTTCTTACAATCCGTCCTTTGAATTCTTTATCTGGGATTTAACGCAATGCTCTCTCATTGAGATCCATTGCTGTCCTTCATGTTTCTTATATATTATGTGTTCTGACTTATGCATATTGTGTTGATTGGATTTTATCAGCTGCATTATTTTTGTTGAATTATCTGCAATGTTCAAAGTGAGCTAGACTATGGTAGGGCTGAG